GTTTTACTTAAAGATCTTCAAGCTGTTCTGCCAGATTTCCTAACTCTGGAGAGTCAAGCATTTCAGTGTAGACTTAAAAATGTACCCTTACAGGTTGACTCGCTTAATTGGTCTGAAGAAGTGCTTAGACATTTTGAAGACTTCATTTCTGCTTCTAGAGGACCGCTGACTTGCATCATTTATGCTCTTATTCTTGTAAGCCCCAACTGTTTATGCAATATAGTTGACTTACAGGCTCCATTTGCTAGTGCAGAGGAATACCTCAGAGAACGTGGTCTCACCCTATCTGAATATACTGGTCTGAGAAACCTTGCATCTTTGGGTTCTCTGTACAGTTTTTGCTACTCATCTTTTAATATAAAAATTGGAAGTGAGGAGGAGGTTTATATAACTCACATATATAGTCCTTCAAAATTCTATTGTCAGCTTAATCGAAACACTGAAACTATAGAGGCATTGATGAAGAAGGTTAGTGTCATAAGTAAAATGTCAAATAATGCAAAATATGATACCAGCAATACGCGGTTATGTATAGCCAGATATTTTGAAGATGGTCTCTTTTATAGAGCTTTGGCTTTTCCTGTGAAATCGACATCCTATCTATGTGCTGACTTTGTGGATTTTGGAAATAAGAATATGGTGGAGAGAGACCAGTTGATGCCTATTCCAGACTCTGCCACTGACCTATTATTCACACCCATGCAAGCAATTAAATGCTGCTTGTCAGATCTTAGGGAGACAAAAATTCCAGCAAGAGTTACTAGATGGTTTGAGGAAACATTCCTTGGTAAACTGCTGAAGGCTGTAATTGTGTCCAGAGAATCACATGGACAGATTGTTGTGGAGTTGTATGATGGACAGCTCAAAGTCAGTCAGAAGATTAAAGAGAAAATATGTGAAGAATTGACACTGAAAAATTACACAGAACAATTTGTTGGAAGTAACGGAGGAGTGATACATCACATGGAAGATGACAAAGAAATTAATAAAGGAACTGTTGAAAGTCCTGAAAGAGTTGAATTGAAAACTGAAGTGAAATGCCAAGTATATGGTAAATATCATCAGACAGATATTGGACGGAGTTTTGAAGATGAAGAGCGAACTGCATGTAGCACACAAGTTGTGTAATGGGTCCTCAAAACTGCTAACTTTACAGGACAGTGAAGAACCAGGTTTTAGAAATACTGTCACTGCTGTTCTGGAGCACAGAGAAAAACCTCTGGTTGGAGAGGCTGCTTCTCTGTCATCCTGCTTTAAATTCGAACCAAATAACTGTAAATTCTCTCTCTGAATCTCATAATGAAAGACTATTTTTGCAGGAAAGGAATAATGAAAATATACCTAAGTTAATCAGTCTTCCTCAACGTGATATTCGGGTGAATTCTGAAGTAGCAGGGTATATTTCTCATATGAACAGTCCATCAAGTTTCTATGTTCAACTTGCAGAGGATGAAAACTTAATAATACAACTAGCAAAAGAATTAAATGAAAGCACAGTGAATATAGGTCATGAAAATTGCTTAGATGAGTTCATGGTAGGGGATCTCATTGTTGCAGAGCATGACACCGATTGATTGTTTTTACTATAGGGCAGTTACTAAAACTCTGAAATCGGGAAACTCCTTTGAGGTAGAGTTCATTGACTATGGTACTGCAGCAGTTGTAGGTCCTTTAAAAATCTGCAGGATTCAGAACTAGTTCTTAACTTTGCCGAGGCTCAGTGTTCATTGTTTCCTTAGCAGAGCAAAAAGTGTTCCTGATGAAAGCTGGGCTAATAAAAGTACTTCCTATTTTGTAAGGAAAACTAGTAACATGCCAGTCACTTGCAAGTTCTTAAAGCAACATGGAGAGCGATGGGAAATAGATGTAACTTGTGATGGAAAGTCTATGTCTAATGCCCTTCTACAGAAAAAAGGCAGGACAAGGTGGCAAAACAGACCAATGCATAAACAGGAAAATAGGCCAAAACAAATTCTAGTTACAAATGGTAATCCTCAAGATAGAAAGTCTAGAAATGGTTTAGGTGGCCAAAATAAAACTAAGGCTGTTAAGATGGAAAATACTTCCGATGTCCTTCCTCAGGATCTGAATTCTGGACAGGTAGAAGGAGCAGAAGTAATTAATATTTCAGAGGGTGGAGAATTTCATGTACAGTTTCTAAGTAACTTGCAAATATTACATGAGTTAAATGTAATGCTTGTCAAAGAAGCACAAAAAAGTGATTTGCTTAGAGTGGATTACATTGAAGAAGGATTGGAATGCATGGCAAAATCTGAGATGAACTTGAAGTGATATTGATCAAAAGTGATAAAGAAATTTGTCAGGGAGAGGTTAATGCTAGTTTTTTTTATGGATTATGGCAAGTGTGAGATGGTGTCCTTAAATAATGCAAAGATGCTCAGTGATGAGATTAAAAGCATTCCTAAACAAGCAGTGTTTTGTAAGTGGGTTTGGCTTAAAAAACTGAAGAAAATTCAGTTTGTCCATGCAGTAAATGCACTCCTGGATTGTGAAATAAGGATCTTATTTTTGAGATATTTGGAATCTGCTCGTGTCTGGGAAGTAGATATTTTAATAGGGGAAATTCTGCTTCAGGAGTATTTGAACCAGCTCTTAAGTCATTGTTGGACTATTGTTGCACCAGAAAAATCCAGTAATACAGACTGTAAGGAGTTTGATACATCACTCAATAAATTCAGTCACATGGATGCTGCTGCAGAGTGGCAGAAGGTGTCCTGGGTTTGCATCTACAGTTACTGATCCTTCCAACTTCTGCATCCAGTTTGAAATATTATTTAATTGCATGCAAAACTTGTCTGTGCTGCTCTCTGACCTTCCTGACAACTTGCCAGCTTTGCCAAAAGAACTTGTGGCTCCTGGTACCAGCTGCTTGGTCAAGTTTGGACTGGAAGTACAGTGGAACAGGGCAGAAATTAGTGAAGTAACAAGTCAGTCTGTTGTTCTTACATCTATTGATTATGGCTTTCTGAAGAGCATCTCTTGCTCTGATATCCATAAACTTAAAGTTATTCCAGAAAGTCTGTCTTATTTACCGTGCTTGGCACACTCTTGCTCTTTACATAATACAGTTACTGCCAAGGGCAAATACTGGAGCGATGAAGCTAAACTTCTGTTTCGGAAGCTTCTTAGTAAACCAGGTCTGATAGTTCATTTTAAACACTACAGCTCTGAAACGAAATTGGAAGTGGATGTTCTGTACCAGGAGAACAATCTAGCCCATGCCTTAATTGCTGCTGGCCATGCGGTCTACTCTACAAGTAGAAGCTGCCTCATTCCAGTTGACAGAATTAAATCGGAAGAAACAGATTTGCAGCCTGAGTGTCCAAATTCTAGTTACTGTGCTTCCCTTTGTGAACCAGATTATAATTATGATGAAAACTCTTATTTTGCTGACAGAAATAAAGCAAAAGAAATAAAACAAAAAAAGGATCTGAAGCGTAAGACCATCTGTGATAGTTTCAAATGAGGAAGTCTGGTAGCTGGAATATCATTAAGAAAGGATGTGGGTTCATATAACACCGAAAGAAAAGAACAATTGCAAAAGGTGGACGATACTGTAAAGAAGTTAGGTTTTTTTCAGCATTGTGATGATAAGAAGAGTAAAATTTACTTGATACCTAATAAATCTGGTGCCAGAAGCATTGTTCGAGACTTGTGATTCTGATGTTCCACAGTCCAGAAAGACAGTGTGAAGATCCTATCAAAAGAATTATTTGAATAAGTAGACTGCAGTTATAAAAGTACTACTGCAATGCATTTAAAAAAAAACAAAAACAAAACAACCAAACAGATATTGCTCTTGGCATGTTGGGTTTTTTTTTTTTCCAAGATCTCTTGTTATATTTACTTAGACAATCATGGTTTTGGCAAACGTTTTTTGTCAGAATGCTTTTACAATTTGTGTGTGTATGTATATAAAACTTTATTTGCAGTAGCACCTGGTTTACAGTGTTGGCGTTTCCTCCTTGTTTTGGATGCTTAGAAAACAAAGGTGTCAAACATGTTCTTCTGTTTTGTTTCTAATTCCAAAGTTCCTGTGTGTTTATCTTTTCTCTTTTTAGGAGAAAATTTACTAACAATAAGCCAAAAGCTTGGAGCCCCATTTATGGGAGAGACACCCATTAAGTTGTTTTCAGTTGGCTCTTGGTGTAAAGATGCCATTGACCTGTCTCAAGATTCTCTTGGTATCAGAGTTGCATCATGATTGGGATATTCTTTTTGCTGAGTGTGCATGTTCTGCCGATGTCTCTCCTCCATCCTCCTCGCTGATCTGTCAAAATGAAAAGAGGAAGTTTTTTCCATGTACTTAGTCTGTATCTTGAAGGGAGACATGCAGAGCCTTTTTCTCTTTCTGTGGAGAAGGAGGAAATTTCAGAACTAAAAAGTGATGCTATGCTGTATATGTCTTGGAAGTTTTTTTTAATTCTGATTTTTTTTTTAATTCTGAAATTACAAGAATTTTTCTGATGTTTCTCTGATATTCCCCCCTCTCTGACACTTAAGAGTTAATTAACTCTGATTCTGACTTCTGGCTATCATTCAGTTAGAACATTAGGTGCTTGGGTGTCTTTTCTTTTTAAAGAACATATGGATACCTGAAATGCCAGTCCTGTTGGTGTAGTGTTAATACACAGCTTGCATAGTTTAAGTTAGGTTTTTTATTTGCTAAAGTATATTGTGCTTTTACTTGCATGTAGTTGTAGAACATTGCTTACCTAATGTTACAAAATGGAGCCTAGAAGTGACGGATGATTAAGAAAAAATAAACAGCGGTGTGTGTACTTTTATTATGTTCTGCAAATTGCAAATGTTAGATTTATTATTTGCAAGAATACGTGTTTTATTTTCGACTCATAATGAGTCTAGCTTGTTGTATCTTTTCTGAAGGTCTGATGCCCGAAGTGCTTAAGGTAAAAACTAGATAATTGAAACTGTTTTCAGGATTATGCTGTGCTTGTAAATACAGAGAATGTCTTTTGTTGCCACTGTTGATACGGTTTTTCAGCAGTGCATTACAGGGTTATGTTATGATTGTTATTAAGCTTCTGGAATGTCTGGTTATGAGTTTTATTCCCAGTCTTCTTTCTTTGATGTATACTTTCCCTGCCCCCAACCTCAGCTATAACAGCATTTTTCTTGTAAGTAGGAGAGGCTATACTTGTAATCTAGTTGAAAGAAATTGTAATTTATTTAGAATTTGGAAGTTTAGGTGTGTTTTTGTATTTATTTCTGGGCGAGTGTAATTCTGAGCAAAAACACTAGTTTGATTTGGTAAAATTTAATTGGAAACTGCTGTTTATAATTTGATTGTATTTCCTAAATGGATTTCTGTATTTGTTTATACTGTGTCACTGATTATTTTTTTTTTTAAAATATCCGTGAAAGTGATAGAGATCAGGTTGCATTTGTTTGGAATTAAAAATGTTCCCATGTATACTGACATATTCAGTATTCTGCCTTTTTGTCATGAATAATAAAATACTTCACTTGTGTGTGTGTAACTTGCTTTTTCTAAGTAATTCTGCGTATTTTTAAGCTTTCTGTGGCCTTTGTGGTTTGGTGAATGTACTAGAAAAAATGTGAAGCTACACCAGTACATTCTTTGTGCGATGGTGCCAAGGAGCAATCCTTGCCCTGTAGGCCAGCAGCTGTGGAGTTGATTTTTATCTGTCCTGCACTGAATCAAGGTTTGGTTTTTTTGAATGCAGTTACAAGTGGCACCGGCTCTCTGCCAGGGCAGATTCCTAGGCAAGATGCATGCCACACTCAACCTTCGTATGCTTTGTGCTGGTCAGATGTACTCTAACTGGCACACTCTATGCAGGCAACCAGGCCTCATATGCCAGATAGGAACACTGTTATAATACCATACTTAAAGTTTTAAGATTTGTATGCAGTTACTTTGAGAAACGTTTTTGGTTGGTTACTTTTAAAGATGTCCACCGCTGAACATTTAAACGGTATTAAAAAGATTATGTAGGTGTTTTTCTAATGTTCTGGCTGTTTATAATGTTCCGTAAAGCTTAACTGATATTGAGGGGGGGAGGATGTGTGTGTGTAATTTTTTTTTTCTATTTTGTTTTCTTGAGGGAGTTTTAAGATGGTATAACTGTACAGTAAGATGTCTGAGTTTTAGTAACTTAACATGTGGTGTTACTGCCGAGAGCAAGAGTACCTGTTGCTGATTTTGCTGATCCTTTCTGGCTGATTTAGGAGTAACTCTATACTATGTCCAGAAGGAAATGTGTTCAGACCTTCAGCCAGCAGAAATAGTGGGCCTGAGAAAATGAGATGTGAGATCATTAAGGATTCATATAGGAAAAGAGGCAGAGAATGAAAAGGTTTCACTGGAAGTATTAATTGGGTGGTTCTGGAGTTTTGAAATGGCTGATTAGTTATTAAATGTTTGTATGGGCCAAGAAACATGGAAGTTTTGGCTTTCAGGCAGAAGTTTAGGTTTCAGTGCTAACCTAGTGTGTGATTTTTAAAGTTTGCAATAAAAAGATAGGAATTTAAATACGAGTGTAGAGCATGAAGAAGAGGTCTTAGAAACTAACAAATGATCATCTGTTCCATAAAAGTAAACTTAAGGATGCAAAAGAGCCTCTGGCATTGCTTTTAATTACTCTTAATGTCTGCGGAGGATTGTATGTATATGCTTGGGTGTGCTTTGTTAGCTGCAGACCAAAGTCTGGAGGTGAACTTCACTACTGCGCCTAGACAGCTGCACTTCTACAGTGGCAATGGTGCTGGAACAAGGTATAACAACTTTATTCTTTCTGCACCACCACCCCCTCCCCCAACCTGCTTTTTTTCTGCACCTGTGCCTTCTTGTCTTTGCCTACACTCCTCCAAAATAAACAACCGATCCCAAATGACTTTTTCTTCATTGATCCTACATCCTTACCTAGATTTGGTGTTTCTGACGGTGTTACCTAAGCAGTCCAGACCCTATATGGTATTACTGTACAGTCACCTGGCTGTCGGCATCCTTATACCACAAGACTGCCTTCTGATTATTTGGTTCAGGCTGCTTACATTTCATTTATCTTATAGGCTTTCTAGAGAAAATATCTGACTTTGTCTTTACTCTTCTACCTAACTCTAATTATGCACAAGCAGTTTCTTATGTGCAGTTTCCAATACCAGAGGGACCTGACATGCTAAATCCAAAGGTGCTGAGAGAATTGGCTGATGTCCTTTCATAGAGATTAGGGGATGTTATGTTTGGAAGAAAACAAATGTTTCACCCATCTTCAAAAGATGCCTGAAAGTCAGTCAGGAAACTACAGGTTGGTTAGTCTCACTTTGGTACCTGGGAAAAACATGGAACTGTCTTGGAACACATTTCTGGGCACATGAAGGAGAACTAGGTGATTGATAATAGTTGGCACAGATTTACCAAGGGTAAATCAGGCTTGACCAGCCTGAGAGGAGAACCGTGGACATTGTATACCTTTGACTTCTGTGAGGCTTTCAACATTCTACCACAATATTCTTGTATCTAAGGTAGGATGCTACCCTCCAGGTGGGTAAAGAACCAGATGGGTAAAAACTGTTTGGATAGTTGGGTTCAGAGTTATAGTGGTTAATGGGATATGCTCTTATCTGGAGGTTGTTAACAAGTGGGAGTACTGCAGGGGTCTATCCTGGGTCCAGTCAAACATATTTATCAATGATGTGGATGAGGCAATGGAGTACTTGCTTATCAAGTTTGCACGTTATACCAGGTTGGGAGGGCTGCCTTGAGGGCCAGAGGCTGAAATCCAGAGGGAAAGGCTGGAGGAATGGGTAAGCAGAAACATGATGAAATGTAGCAGAGACAAATGGTCATAAATTGAAATGAGAGGTTTAGACTGGAAAGCAAAACCTTTTCAGAATGAGGACAGTCAAGCATTGCAGAAAGTTGCCCAGAGAGATTGTGCAGTCTCTGTCCTTGGTAGTTTCAACACCCAACTCAAAAGTTCTGATGAACCTGGTCTAACCACATAGCTGGCTCTGTTCTGAGCAGGAGGTTGACTAAGTGAACTCTAGAGGTCCCTTTTCACTTGAACGATACTGTTACTGCTGTGGCTACTCTTCATACCTTAGTAGCCTCTAAAACCTTGCTTCTGGAATGCAGCATATGAAAGTCCATAAAGCTTATTTTAGCATATGGTTCGCCAGTTTCACTCAAGTCATCTCCACTACTTGTGTAAGTGTAAATGGCAAATGAATGAGGACTACATAGGTATTCTGTCTGGCTTTCTCCAGCTGTGATTGGAAACTTCCACTAAGGAAAGCTGCCTTTGCAAAACAGCTAGTGTTTATAGAAAGAGACTGTTAGGACAGATGTGCCCCAATAGGTTCAGGTACACAGAAAGCTTGTCAGCCTGTGAGGTGGTTTTATGTCCCTTTAGCTACTTGAGAGGTGGCTTTGTGAATAGAAGCTTAAACTGCCTCCTTTTGTCTCATCTCATCCATCCC